TCTCTCTCTCTCTCTCTCTCTCTCTCTCTCTCTCTCTCTCTCTCTCTCCCTTGTGCGTGTGTCTCTCTCTTTCTCTCTCTCTCCTATGTTTGAGTGTGTGTGTGTGTGTGTGTGTGTGTGTGTGTATGTGTGTGTGTGTGTGTGTGTGTGTGTGTGTGTTCTGCCTCTGTCACTCGTTCCTTCCCACTGGCATTGCTCTGCTGTTGCGGTTACCCTAACCCACAGTGGGGAGTTGAGGGATGACTTGCCCTTCTCCAAATGACTTTCATTGAGAACTTTCACTAATCTCTGGCTACCTCAGCCCAGCTGACTTCCTTTCTGAAATCTGTATATTTGGCAGGCAGTGGTATCTCCAAGCGTGAAGGGTTCTGATTTATGAATTAGCGAAGAATTCATGTGACTCCATAAAGAATGCACCCCAACTAGGCTACTTGGAATTTAGCCTCATGTTTATGCCTTGGGCAAATATAACTTTTGAGTTGCTTGGTGGCTTGTCTTATGAGTCAAGTCCTGGCTACTGTGCCCAGAGCAGAGCTATAGTCCCCCCATGACAGGCTAATCAGTCTTGGCAGGAAGTTGCATAGACGTGCGGGGGTGGAAGGGACATGGTTCTCTCTTAGCCATTGGTTCAGAGTCTGGAGATGCTGCCTGGGAATTGGGACCTGAGAAAAGGTAACCCCATATCCAAACTGCTTTTTGCACTAGTCAACTAAGCATAACAAATCCACATTCAGGGCTCCTGCATGATGCTGATGGAGGAGACATGGGGGACCCTATGCCGTGTGTCTTCTCTCAGGAGACACTGAGGATCAATGTTCTATAGTGAAAGCAGTTAAACTCAGGTTACACTTCTTGCTTTGCATTTGCTCATTGCCATAGCAAGTTCTGTGTTGTTTTTCCCCCAAGCACGTGTCTAGGAACCCCCCCCCCATGCAAATCCACAGGCTTCATTTGTGCCCACTCCAGTCCCTTCAAACTCTGTGTTCGCCATTTGTACTCTGTGACCCTGAGCCACCTTAAAATACTTCCAAAAATGTGAATTCCTTTAAAGAATCAGAGCTTCTCCAATAATAGCAGTGGGGAGCCCTGTGTGAGGAGCCCTGTGTGAGGAGTCCTGTGTGGGGAGCCCTGTGTGAGGAGCACTGTGTGAGGAGTGTGAGGAGCACTGTTTGAGGAGCACTATGTGAGGAGGACTGTGGGAGAAGCCTTGTGGGGGGAGCCCTTTGTGAGGAACCCTGTGTGGGGAGCACTATGTGAGGAGCACTATGTGAGGAGCACTCCGGGGGAGCACTATGTGAGGAGCACTCTGGGGGAACATTGTGGGGAAGCACTGTGTGAGGAGCATTGTGACTCTGTTGCTTTTGTTGGGGGGAGGGTCAAATCATTTGAGTGGTTAAATAGGTTATATCGCTCAGATAAATAGATGAATGGATTTCATTAGCTTGTTCTTAGGAAACTGAATTTAATCAAGCTAATTTTCCTAGAGTGCCTTGTGCTGCGACACTAATTTGCAAGGTTTATGCCACTTGGTTTATTTAGCATTTTTTTTTCTGACTTCGATCATGTGCTTGCATTTACAGAAATCAAGTGTGAGAATCTATCTCCTATCATAGTTTTATAATCTAAAATAATATTTGACGGTTCTTGGCGTTTCTGTTCATTTGCTAACAGAGTCTTACGCTGTCCGACCTTGAGTCAATCAACACACAGAAGTAGTGTGCTGATCCCAGCAAGTGGTGTGTGTGTATATAATTCTGTCTGTTGTCTGTGTTCAAACTGCTGTTTGAGTTTCAGAAATTCACATGGGTAGAGCCAGCATGGCCCACATGTAGAGGTAATGAAATTTGACAGTTCACTGCGTCCTGGAGATGGAATCCTTAGTTAAGAGAGCAGCCTGCGTCAGTAGAGCACTTCCGAGTGTTTGCCGGGGATTGAGTTTCCTCCTCAGAATTCAGGGAGCAGAGAGGGTGGAGGAGGCAGGCGTGGAAAGTACTTTCCCGGGTTCTACGTGTGCCTGTGAGAGAACAAAGAGCTCAGGTAGAGATGAACCGGAAATGATAAGAGGAAAGCCAACCTTCCGTCACAAGGTGACCTTGACAAGTGGCCAGGAATGCAGGAGCCCTCAGAGTTGGCGTTCACACCCATGATGACTGATGTTAGTCAATCTCTCCTTCGATGTCTCTGTCTATCTTTCATCTCTACCCCTGTATCATTTACTTATGAACCACTGTGACCTAACAGAACTGATCTGAGCGAGAAAGGCTTCCTGGCTCGTGATTTTAGACAGGCCAATCCAAGTTTGTTAGCTTCATGCACTTGGACAGAACATTATGGCAAAGGGAGTGTGTGCCCAGGAACCTCCTCAGCTCCCCACAGGCAGAACGTAGAGAAAGATACCATGAGGAGTCACAGACAGGAAATCAAGGATCTGCCCCTAGCCCCCGTAGCTTATTTCCTATAATTAGATCCCACCTAAAGTTTCCAGAACCTTCCAAAAGTACCACTAGTTGGAGAACCAGGTCTTCAAAGTATGAATCTGTTAAGAATATTTCTTATTCAAATCATGGCAGTACCCATGCAGACATCACACTTCTTTTGTTTTTTGGTCTTCTCATCTGACTTGGCCGAACTCTTAAAATCATAGCAGAAGGTAATGTCTGATGTGAAACACTCCTGTCTGAATGGTTCCAGTTGGGTCTCAAGCATGCATTTCCTATTACAGAGAACAAGACAAGCTTCAGATGCTAACTTTGTAGCCCGAGGCTTACACTGTGGTTCTGATTATCAGGTATTATGCTCATAGCCTTGCCTCTCTTACACATAGCCTAGTCTCACTTCCTGACGGACTCTAACATACTTCCTCCAGGTTGTCCATGGAGACTTTTAGTGCAGACTAGGAAACCTAACAGGAGCCACAGCCCTTGCGCAATGGCCAAGAACTTCAAAGAAATCAAAGGCAGGCCCAGAACGATTCGCCTCAGAGTATAGGAAGATGCCATTAAGGTATCATATACTGGCAGTGACCAGCCAAGGGGATCAGGTATAGTTAGATTCAGAATTGGGTCTCTGACTCTTTGCCCCTTTCCCCAAGCCTTCTCATGGTCTCGGGCTCCTTATGCCCTTCCCTTGCCTTTCTGCTGTCCTCAGAATTTGTGATAATAGTACCTATAGCAACCTCTTGTGGCCATGGAGGTGGCTCTGCCTTTTCCTGTCAGCTGCAGGCCAGTAACCGCTCTTTAAAGAGCGTATTAGATGAACAGTATCCATGTGGTCATCTGTATCAGGATGTGTCCCGTTTCCTGAGCCAGCCATCTGGACTCCATCCAGCCCACAATCCAATTACTTAGAATATCTTTTCTTAAGATGAAAAAGAGGATCCTTGGTCCAGAGGACTCATGGGCAACTATCTGTTCTATAAAATAAATACCTTAAAAGTCACAAGCCTGGAATCGGAGAGTTGGCTCAGTAGTAAAGAATGCTTGATAAGCAATCATGGGGATCAGAATTTGGATACCAGTATCGAAGCTTGGCATCCTGCAAATGCCTGCAGTTCGGGTCCAAGGGCAATGGAGACAGAAGGATCTCTGGGATCTGTTGGCTTCCAGACCAGCTGAGAAAAATATTGAGATGCCAGTTTCAGGGTCCAAAGAACCCCTGTCTGAACTGAATTGCCACAGAGTAATAGAAGGGGACACCTGATACCATGCACAGTGGTACACACACACACACACACACACACACACACACACACACACACAATCTTTTTTTTTAAATCGGCACGAGTCTGACCACCACTGTCATCATTCACTTCACACTGCTGCCCTTGGTGCCTGTGATGAATAGTTTTCCCCAAGAAATTCTGAACTCTGCAATATGAAGAGTCAAAGATGGACCCAGAGATAGCAATCTCTTTGGGGCTATTGGATTCAGTTCTACCTAGAAAGAACAGTTGGAAAGTTAGAGAGATTCAGGGCATTCCATACAGCCAGGCAAGTCTATTCCCATTCTTATAGAGGGAATCTGAGATCAGCACAAGTCAGGTGCACACTAAGGATAGCTTGTCTATAGTCAGGTCCTAAAGGTCCAGTTCTGCTTCAGGAGTTCAGCCTGGAATGTAGACTCTGCTCCCTTGCTCCCATTAGAGTCAACAGAGGTGAGACAGAGGGGGCCTTCATCCCTCGGGTCCCTGGCCAGAGCACTGTTAAAGCACTGTGAAGATCTGCTGAAGTCACTGCCCTGTTAACGAAAGTCCTGAGTTCAGATTGTAAGCCCTCTGCCTGCTGTTCATTCTTCTTTTAGTGAAGACAACAAGGAATGCCTCCTCAGCCGCTTCCGCTCTTTCCTGCACAGCCCAAGCTACCACTAGCCAAAGGACTACTAGTTTGAGAGCCAGGCTGTGCTGTGTCAGCACCAGGTAGCGTTAGGGCTCCTTAAACACACCTGGAAACAATTACATAAACACCTGGTGTTTGTTTGCCCTGAATCTTGAAGGTTCAGGCCCAGTCAGCCCAGTTCGAAAGATCTAAAACAGTTTAGGGCAATTATTTTGTAGCCTTACCTCTCAAGTAGGAATGCCCACCTTGTCTGGGGCCTGGGGGAGGGGGGCACTTCCTTCAGTGAGTGCTAAAGGACCAGGGCATAACCTGCCCAGTGCACAAGCCTTAGTCTCTGTGACTGGTGCAAAGGGCCTGACTGGCCAAACACGTGACTGTGATTGGCCCAAAGACCCCTTCTGGGGCTGCATAGGCAGGGTACTGAAGCTCACTCAGTGGGTCAGCTGGCAGACGTGCTGCCGGGCTACTGCATCTGGTACTGCGGCAGCAGGGAAGATGAAGACTGTCTCCGAGTGGCCTTGCCTCCCTTCAGCAGTGCAGGATGTGCCGGATGCCTGCAGAAAGAAGCAGCAGTGGAGAATGACAGAGGCAACAGAAGTGGCTTAGCAGTTAAACAGGTAGGGCCTCGATGCCACAGGCTCTGTGTGAACCGGGCAATGTGGGTACTGCCTGGTGGTTGGACAGCTGGAGATTCGATGGCCATGCGAACACAACACCACTTGGTGTCACCCGTCGACCCCAGACTTCCTGCTGTCACAGGAAAACTCAAGACCACCCACTACCCCAGGGTTCACATAGGTAAACACTGAGCACTGAGCAGCCCTGCTTAAGCGGGTTCCTGGTGCCCCAACTCTGGTCCCTGATTCTCTGGCAGAGAAAAACACTGCAATGCTGCTTCTCAGAGCAGAGGCCTTCATGCATTTGCTTGAGGACAAAGGAACAGCTACCTAGAGAGGCCTTGGCCCACCCCGCAGAGGCAGAATGAACTTGGTGGTTTCTGACGGCCCACCAGTTCCATCCAGATAATCCCATATACCAGCCAGGATCCTGTTCCTGATGGGAGGGCAGGTTTGCTGACGAGTGGTGCTGGCTGACCTGGCACCCGGTTATTAAATAGTCCCCTGGGTCCCCTGGCTCCTTAGCAATAGCAGGTATCCAAGCTGTAATCTGTCTCTCCAGTACCTCTGCGACAGAGACAATGTCCCGAGGCCATTGCCACTGACAACCAAAAGAAACGCCGAAGAGTTTGAAGGGGCCCAGGGTGGAGGAGGGCAGGGGAGGCAGAGAGATGGGAGGTAGCAGCTGGGACTGATATAAGGCTCTAGGGAGCTCAGGCGAAGAACCTGCAGATCTGGTCATCTGAAGAGCTGCAGGGAACTGTCCACTCTCTCGGTCCTCAGTCCCAGAGAAGTTACACTGGCCGCTGGCCCAGATCAAAAGTCCCCACGTCTGAGGCCGGCAGGGAGAAATGCTGACACCTGTAAGGCTGATGTCTCCATGGGGGCAATGACATAGGCAGTTGCTTCTGGCTCCCCACTGCTGCCTTTGCTGCCGTCAGACACTGAGGGAGAGGAAGGCGGCTGTGTCCAGCATTTGAAGAGCTTAGCCCTGTCCACATAAGGGAAGAGAACCAGTCAACTGGTTATGGTGGAGGGAGTCCATGCCCTCATCCCAACATCTGCATAGAGCACTGCCTCTGAGGTCAGGGGACGCTTGAAGAAGGCACAACCTGGCTCCTACACTCAGGTTCCCTGACAGAGGCATCTAATCTGCCCTAGGCCTTTCTTTTCCTTTCTAGAATCGGGTGGTTGAGAAACCAGTTTAACCACAAAGAGCTCAGGAACCTTACACCAAGGCTCTGCCTCACTCGTGTAAGTAAACAAGATGCCCACAAAGATGAGTGCTATTTTTAAAAGATGAGGCAGAAAGGGAAAATAAAGGCCGGCCGGGGTTGGCATTCAGTCCGTTAAGTGCTTGCTAAGGGTGCAGAAGCCCTGGGTTCAATCCCCAGCACCGCATGAAGTGGTCACAGTGGCAGGCCTGCCATCCCAGAATTCCAGAGGCGCAGGCTGAGGGGTCTGAGTTTCACTGTCTTTCTCAGCTTTATTGGAGTTTAAGGCCTGTGTGGGCTATAGAGAGTGAGTTGAAGAGAGAGGGAAGGAGGAATGAGAAGAGAAAAGAGAGTCCTTGGGACATTTCCTAGGTGGGCCAGGCTTCATCAAATGTAAAGATAGGATCAAAGGAGAGTGAAGATCGAGAGTCACTTAGCAAATCTTTATCTGAGCGTTAGGACCAAAAGTCTAAACAAATGAAGGGAAGGTGGTCTCCGGCTCTTAGGAAATGGCTCTTGGGTGGTAATCGAAGGGCTGGAAAACCCCACTCTCCAGGCCAAATGCAGCCTGCCACCTCTATCAGTAAAGTTTTAATGTGATTGTGGCCATGTGCATATAATAACAGATTATTTACCGAGGTTCTCCTGATGGCACAGCGACATGGTTTTGACAAAGAAACAGTGTCACAAGCGAAAAATGTTTGCAAGCTGACTTTTTCTAGCTAAAAGTTTGCCAGCTCCTGGTATCATAGACTACAGAGCAGACAATGCGTTGTTCTCCACTGTGCAGTGGAGTCTCTAAACAGAGAGGGCAAAGATGGAATCTTTGTAGTTTGTTTTTTCCTGGGCACCATACCATTTGATTAAACAACTTTATTGACTTAGCATCTACCAAGCTTCTGTTAGGCGTCTACTGGTGGACACTCTTCCTGCGTTATGGCGACAGTGGTAAACAAAACCAACCATGTGTCCAGTTGCCTTTGCTTGGAGAGTGGTAGGGAGCAGGAAGCTGTCCTGCTGCCACGGCTGTCAGAGCACTGTAGAGACACAGAGAAAGCCTTAGTGGGGAAACCTGGCATGGGGACTGGTCTGGGTGAGTGGGGAGTGCTTTCAGCAAGAGACCATGCAGGGTCTCTCTTCACACACCTGTCTCTCTCAGGTATGAGTGGCTTTGGAAATCTTCAGTAGTTAAATGTTGAATGAAAGCCATCTCTTCCCCCCACTTCATGTGTGTATGTGAATGTGTGTGAATATGTGGGTATGTATGTGAATGTATAGTGAATGTGTATGTATACATGAGTGTGTATGTGAATGCACGTGTGTATACAGAGGCTAGAGGTTGCCACTGGTATCTCCCAGAGTCATTTCCAGCCTTATTTTGGGGACAAGGTCTTTCAGTGCACCTGGAGTCCACTGAGTCAGCTGGGCAGCCTGAGTAGCACCCCCCAGGAGCCCTCCTGTCCCTGTCTTCCCAGCCCTGGGGTTATAAGCATGTGGCTATGTGGCTGTGCTTTCTTTTTAACATTGGGGAGGGTCAGACACGGATCCTCAGACTTGTGTGATAAGCCCTTTTCTGACTGAACCACCTCTCCACCCTCAAATCCTCTCCTCTCTAAGTCCTTCCTCTCACCCCGTGTCTTCCAGGCTTGGCCTTGAGTGAGGGACTAAGTGTGTGAGAGACAGCGATTGTAGCGTGCTTTTCCACAAGAAAGCCCGTGGGGAGTCCTGGCTCGCAGGTGACCTGGACTGGCATGAAGGTGGCAGACACCAGCGTGAGAGAGGATGTGTGAGCGGAGTGGATGTTTGGGAAGAGCTTCAGATCAGCCCGGAAAGCACAAGCCCATCAGATGCCTAGGTCGTTTCCTGCATTTTCTGCTTGGGTAAACAGCCAAGAGAAACTAGAAAGTGCACCCTAGACACAGTAGGGGATGAATAAAGAGGGTTAGAGGCGATTAGACCCCAGAGGGCTCCTACTCATCTTCAGCCTACTGCAAATTGTCCTGTACGGAAGGAGCAAACAGCTTATTAAACAACAACCCCAGCACCAAGCCGACAAGGGGAGGATGAGAGAGTTAATTATTCCCCCAAATCCTTGACTCCATGGAGGTATCATCTGAGGATATTGGTTTAATAACATGTTCCCACCCAAGTTCATTTAAGGCATCATTTCAACACTTCATGTAAGATGTTAACGAATTTGTTTTTGATAGAAGAGGACTCAGCCAGGAGAAAGGTCACTTACACGAGATAAAAATTCCACCAAGCTGCCCCAGACTTCCATGTCCGCCCACAGACCAATAGTGTCCAGCAGGCAGTATCCCAAGTCTGTGGACTTGCCCCGCCCACCTGTTTTGAACTCCAATATGACGGCCATTTTTTGAAATACCTGGCGCAGAAGCTAGGCCCCAGATGTACGGAAAGGTGACCAGAATGCTCTGTGCTCACTCAGGGGGAAACTGTAGACCTGAAAATTCGCAGCAAGAAAAACATGTCTTACCAAAGTGCAAACCAGACACTTGGCATCTGCTCTGTGTGACGCAGGGCTCCCCGACTGGCAGGAAAACCACAGTAAAGAACTGATTACCCTGTGAGAGTACATTCCACAGTCTGTCCAAGGCTATTTTTGTTTTACAATAAGGTACAATATGTTCCGTGATGTTCCCAATCCTGGGCACTTAAAAGAATTGTATCTGTATAGTCATTAATTCCACTAAATTACAGAGAATCCGTCAATTATGTAAATGAATGCATCAGGTTTGGGGTGTTCATTCAATTCGGTAACAGTGCTAATCCACACATGGAACACTTTTAGTAAGGAGAACGCTCATTCCTGATCCCACCTGTTGATTGTAGCAGCCATTTGTAAAAGCTACAACCGAAAGACAGCTCAGATAAACTGGGTTTTATGGATCAAACACCTAAGTATGATGGTCCCTAGCAAACTAAATGTATTTATGTTTTTTAAAAAAAATAAAAATGAAAAGTCAGTTTTGAAAGTCGTGTTTAGTCAAGTGTTAGTTGATACATTAAAAAAACAAAACAAAACCTAAATCCCCCTCTTAGCCGGTGCCAGGAACTTAACTGGTGAAAAAATAAATGTTTCTGTTTTAAGTTAGAGCCTGTAAACACTGAAAGTGCTTCAGAAGGAGGAATGGTTTCCCCTGACAGAACGGATAGTCAGCAGCGCAGACGCCTTTGAAAGCAACTTTCCGTTCACCTCGGGAAGGAAAGTAGACAACAGTGTAAGGTTTCTCCTGGGAGCCAGACGGTCCTCTGCGCCCAAGTTCAAGAGCTGCTTCTGCCTAATGCTTGACTAGTTGGCACAGCCGCTTTCCCGTCTCCAGACCTGCCTAGCTACTTTTTAACCATTTCAGACCAGGAAGCTGGGCAGAGAGAAGCGGCACCCAGTCGTCTGCCCCTACCGAAGGTCTCAACCTGAGAACCCAGCAAATTCCTCCTTGTTTGTGTCCTTTGCAGACTTTGGCAAGTTCATAGGTCAAGAGGGGGTTAGCCATCTGCAGTGCCATGATGAAAGTCCATATTGTGTGTGAGGGGGTAAGTACATGTGTGTATACATTTGTGTGTGTATGTGCACATGGAGGGAGAGGTACATGTGTGTATGCATTTGTGTATGTACGTGCACATAGAGGGGGAGGTACATGCATGTATGCATTTGTGTGTGTACGTACACATGTGGATAGGCATCTTCCTCAGATTCTCTCCATTTTTAGAGACAGACAGCGTGGGTCTCTCATTAAACCCAGTTTGTCATTCAGCTAGACTGAGTCCGCAAATCCCGAGGATCCCCCTGTCTCAGCCTCTCCAGTGCCGGCCCAACAGGTGCCCACTTCAGTGCCTAACTGTTGACAAGGCTGTTGAGGATTGGAACTCGGGTCCTCGTGCTTATATGGCCAGCATTTTTCTGATAGAGTCGTCTCCCCCAACTGTGCTCTGTGGTTCTTGATGGCCTTTTCTTGTGCAAAATAAGGGGGGGAGGGGGTACTTTTTGTCTGTTCCATAAAGCATACTGGTACTCAGAGAAAGGTGATAGAAAGGTAGAAAGAAACAACACATTAAATAAAGTACGTGTGTGTATGTGTGTGTGTGTGTGTGTGTGTGTGTGTGTGTGTGTGTGTGAAGAAGATACACACTCTGAGGTGTATCTCAGTTCTTTCTGAGGCTCCAGTTAAAACAGTGTTCATTCTAGAAACTGACACCTCATAAGAAAACATAAACAAGCAGGATGATTGTTCCAAATTTTTAACATCAACTTTGCTGACAAGATCAAGAAACTTGAGCCAACCATCTGCATCAAATGATAAATCCAAGGAAAAAGGTCCTTTTCCACTGCAGGGCAGTGCAGTCACAGCATCAGCAGTGACACAGGAGACACGGGCTGTGCTCTCACTTAGAGCGAAGAGGAGCGTCCAAGCCGACTGCCCGGCCAGCCCTGGCACCACGGGCATCTCCCACCTGCCCGGCCAGCGCTGGCACCACGCGCATCTCCTCTGTGACCAGAATTATTATGTTCAGATAAGCCAGAAGGAAGGGCCTTTCTCTGTCCTTGGCTTGCTCAGTGGCCTGCAGATGTTTGTATCTCTCTGTGGTACCTTTCCCATAAACACACACACAAAACAACTAATTATTCTTATTTAGTTTTTATACAGTACCAAAAATATGGTTTAAGTCAGCACCTTTCCGGTTGCCCAGGTTGCATTGGGATATTTTTAAATGTTTCAAAGAAAGAAAGAGGGTGGAGAAAGAGGAGAAAATAAAAATGAGCCAGGCCCCTAGAAGAGATTTTTCAGACCTACTGTGTGCAATCTCTGCAGAGCTCTAGATCTTGGGGGATGCCCAAGTAATGGAGACAGGGCACCTTAGCTGGATGTCCTATATCGGTTGTTGAATTTTATGTCCTTTCTGTTTATGGGTTTGTGAACTTGCACTAGTCAGACAACAACCTTGAGGAAACAGAGGTGAGTTACACAGCAAACATGGTAAAGAGAGTGTCAAGCCGAAGTGATTTCTGGCTGAGCCCTTCGAGGTGAGTGTGAGCACACTTCCGGGAACCTGCAGCTCACCCTAACAACCAGCTCCTTGGCTTCCTCATGGGCCCCAGGTGGAAAGGGCATTCCCCTTTCTTTGCCCTGTAACAAGAGGTCAATCACCAGTGTCTGTGCTTCAGGGGAAAAGGACCGAATTCTACAGATGAACCCGGGCACAGACTTGGCCCAGATGTCATGCCTGCATACCTGTAGAGAGAGTCCCATGTCTCTAGAGTCCCATCCTCAGGGGCATTTTTAACTGGAAGCAACATTTTTATATGTATTGTTTCACAAGCAGAGGAGAGGCAGAAGCACGGGGCATGGGAAGGAGACATGGTTTTTCTTGTTCTTCCACTGCCAGCCCTAGACAGCCATGTGTTGGAAAACTTTTATCTAATTATTTTGACATTTCCCTCCCTTCTTTTCCTTCCATTGTGGAAAATTCTTCTTAGGAATCATCTTCTCGGTGATGCTTCATCTAAGGTTTAGAACATTACACCCTTCAGCCTGGAAGCCAGGCTTAGAGACACTCTGTTGCTGTGTGTGTGTGTGTGTCTCAGACTGTCTGTGTCTCTCTGTCTCAATTTTGGTGTCTCTATTTCTCTCTGTCCCTCTCTATCTCTGTTTCTCTCTGGGTCTCTCTCTTCCTTCCTCCCTTGCTCCCTTGCTCGCTCCCTCAATCCCTTCCTCCCTTCCTCCTTCCTTCACTCCCTCCCTCCCTCTCTTTCTCTCTCTCTCATGTGTGTATGTCAGCCAGAGTGCATGGGTGTGTGCACACGTGCACCTACATGCTCATGCAAGTGGAAGCCAGAGGTACCTTTCAAAGACTTTTTTTCACTTTTACCTGGAACTTGGTGACTTGGCCAACTTCAGCGAGCCCCAGGGATCTGTCAGTCTGGCTCCACTTCTCCAGCACCAGAATCACAGACACCTACCACCATGCCCAGCTTTCTTACGTGGGTTCCAGAGTTTAAACTCAGATCTTTACACTTTCCTAACTGACCTGGCTCCCCAGCCCCTAGAATGTTTTTGTTTTTGTTTTGTTTTGTTTAATTGTGAGTACTTTTGTCTCTGCTCTTCACCAAAGGAAGTAACATTTGGAGTAAATGTCGACATGCCTGCATTTGTATGTTTCTTTTTCCCGGAGGGTCCTGACACTGGGCTGGTGGGTGGTCACTCCTGCAGGTCACCTCTGCCTGCATCTCTTTCTGTATCCATGGCCCTCCACTGCGGCAGCGCAACCACTGCACTCTCCCCAGTGAACTATCAGGAGAGGATGACACGGCTCAGTTACTTTCCATGGCTGCAGCAAATGCCCAAGGTAAACAATCAAAGGTGGAATGGTTCACTTTGCCCAGAGTTTCCGAGGTTTCTGATCATGGTTGATTGGCTGTTGCAGGGTCTGTGGGGGGCAGGACACCTAACTGTGGATGGGGAGCAGAAGAGGCTACTCACTCCCAGTGGACAGGAGGGAGGAAGAGGGAAAGTCGGGGTGAAACACATCATGGAAAGACACCCACTTCTTCCCACCCTCTAAAGTTCCAATAGTACCAGCAGCCAGGGACCAAGTCTTCTACCCATAACATTTGGGGAACACTTAAGATCCGAGTTCCGTGTGGATCCCAGACAATTTTGTATGTGTATGTGTGTATATGTTCATGTGTGTGTATGTGTGACTGTGTGTGGGAAATGAGAACATGTTTGTGTGCATGTGTGTATATGTATATGTGTGTATATGTATATTGTATGTCTGTGTATGTGTGAGTATGTACATGTCTGTGCATGTTCACATGTGTGTGGGGAGTGGGCATATGTTTATATGTAATGTGTTTGCATGATTGTTTATGTATTATGTGTGTGTATGTGTGTGAGTATGTACATGTCTGTGTATGTTAACATGTATGGGGGAGTGGGTACGTGTTTATGTGTATGTGTTTGCATGATTATGTGTGTGTGCATGTGTGAGTGTATACATGTATGTGCATGTTCACATGTGTGTGAGGGAGTAGGTATGTGTGGTGTGGTGTGTGTGAGTGTGCATGTGCTGACAGTCAGCTTCAGATACTGCTGCTCGGGGTTCTGTCTGCCTTGCTTTCCTTCTACAGGGTCTCTCATTGCTAGGAACTTGCTGATTGGGCTACGCTTGCTAATCAGCCAGGGAAGGGCCATGGAACCCAGCCATCTGCTTCCCAATGCTAAAAATACAACACCTGACGTTTTTACATGGCTCTGGGGATTGAACTCTGGTTTTCATGTGTACATGACAGTGTTCACCCACTGACCTCTCTCCCCATCTACTCCTCGTTCATCTTCTTTACCTCACAGTCAGGAAACCAACAAGAAAGTCCAGGTTTCTCACCATCAGAGTTCATGACAAGTTCAAACGTCACTCACCCCTGCCCAAGTGCAACCATCCTCTACCATGGTAAGTACGAAACGATACCTTTTGTTACTTGGCTGACTAATTCTGTCACCTGAGAGCCCGCCTTACGCTTGCCGTGGAAGCTCACTACGAAGTAACAAACTTTCCCAGATCTTCCTGGTAGATGCCTGTGTGGAGTCCTGAGTCACAGCCAACCTATGGATGAGGGTTGTTCCCATCTCTCTACGTGAGTTTGGATGTGTCCTCTCTGCCCACTGCCTTGCCGCGTGTCTTCTTGAGTATGGGCCACTCTTATCTTATGATGTGGAGCAACGACAGAACATGGTGGCAAGGATGACTGAGTGGACAGGAGGGAGCATGGTCCGATGGTTTCAGTAAGAATGGCCCCATAAACTTACACGTTTGGATGCTTGGATGAGTTGGTGGGCTGTTTAGGAAAGATTAGGAGGCTTGACCTTGTGGGAGGAGGTGCATTACTGGAGGGGGGCTTTGAGGTTTCAAAGATTTATCCCAGATTTCGTCTTTGGTTTCTCCACCTCCATCTCGTGAATCAGGTGTGAGCTAACAGCTACTGCTCCGGCTTGCCAGCCTCCTGTCACACTCCCTGCCATGATGGCCATGAATTGACCAGCCCTCTGACATTGTAAGCAAGTCCCCAGTTAAATGTTTTCTTCTGTGAGTTTCTTTGACCAATGGTGTCTCTCCACAGTGACAGAACAGTAGCTAAGCTACTCTCCCACCCCGACGTCATAGGTTTTCATGCTTCTCCAATCTTCATCAGCCTTATTTTGTTCAGCCACTTGAAGGCAATGATAGCTTCAGATGCAGAGTTCATGGAGGAAGACAACCCACTACCTCCGCATTGGAAGTCAGTATTCCTCCTGGGGTGTGAACTGGTCATGTTCATAAAGCATGTGCCATGCATGATGCAGGCTTTAGCAGAGGCCCTGCTGTGAAGACAATCATTGAATATTTTTGGTGCTATTTTAGAGTAGACTGTCTGCTTAAACTAACAGAACATCCTTGATTTTGTATCTGGATAAAATGTTCTTAAAATCAGCAAATTATTCAGTTGTCACTATAATGAATCATCTGAAATAATAACTCGTAAAGGAGAGAGGCTTTGGTCTGGCTCACAGTTTTGAGACTTCTACTCTAACCATTGGATTGGGCTCCTGGGGTGGAGTGGGTAAACCCGGATGTGAGGTGATTAGGGTGGGGACAGGATGTTCTCACCTGGATGTTGAAAGTCATCCAGGGATCCATGTGTTAAAGCCTTGATCGCAGTCCCCTATGGCAGTGCTCCTGAGAAGTGGAGCACTTACAAGGCAGAGCCTAGTGGGACCTCTGAGTAAGGGCATGCCCTTCACAGTGATAGTTGCTTCCTGCTTCTTTTTTATCTTGCTGCTTCCTGGCTGAGAGGCAGGTGTTTTCGCTTGCTTGGTGAGGTCTCTTGTCAGGATGTGGTCTGAGCAGGGAGAAAGTGATCCAGCAACATACCCAACTGGCCTGGCAGGTATTGCAGGCAGGTGTGCAGCTGATCCACAAGTTACAAAACACTTCTCACCAGCTTTGTGCTCGCCTCATTCTTAGGCCTGTTTGACTTAAGATGTTAGGCAAATTTTAAAACTGAGAAAAAAAAAGGTGAAAAGAATCCCTTGGTCTTTGACTTCTCCATGAAGAAGAAAATCTATTAATATAAACACACACATTTTGAGCAGGTCATGTGGACCTGAAGGAACTCCCTGATGACGCCAGCAGGAGCAGTCTATGGTTCCTGGGAACCCTAAGAAAACGCAGACTTGAAGAAGCGGAGGTGGTTTCAGAGCATCAGGGCTCCGTCCAAACAAGAATCCCACTGGAAACTGTCTTTAAGGGCTTAATGGGTCCTTTGGCCTCAGCTCAGGCCTCAGTTGCGACATCAGTTAATTACATTGTTGCATTTCCCTTGAAAGGGGTGTCTTTGGAGTATTTCCCTCTGATTGGCCAGAACCCTAAGCTACTGTAACTAATTATTATAAATATGTTTATTCAGGGCATGATCAAGGTGCTCTCCTCTCTTTCTCTCACTTTTAAAAATTCTGTCTGATCTAAATGTGTGGAGATGTTTCCTGTTACTATTGCATAAACAATACAAAATAATTGCCATTTATATATTAGTTGTATTGTACTGAGTATTATCTGTAATTCAGGAATGATTAATATAAAAGACCTGAGTGTCTTGGCATGCTGTAGGATAATGGTCCTGTACCCTGTAAAGATTTGTTTCTTGTACTTGTTTAATAAAATGCTGATTGGCCCGTAGCCAGGCAGGAAGTATAGGCAGGGCGACCAGACTCGGAGATTTCTGGGAAGAGGAAAGGTTCAGTCTGCAGTCATCACAAGATGACACAGTGAACACAAGATGAGAATGCTTCACTGATAAAAGGTACCAAGCCACTGACTAACACAGACAAGAATTACGGGTTAATATAAGATGTAATAATTAGTTAATAAGAAAGCCTGAGCTAATAGGCCAACCAGTTTATAATTAATGTGGCCTCTGTATGTTTCTTTGGAACTGAACGGCTGCAGGACCAGGGGGGACAGAAACCTCTGTCAACAGTGGCATGCACAAATATCCTGATATTCCAAAGGTACCAGGGGTCAGCTTTATTACAGTTGCTCTCTCTATAATCAACGCAGCAGTCCTTCTAAAGCGGAAACACTTTGAAAAGAATAGTAAAATGCATTTTTTAACCCAAGTTTGCTTGGTGATCAAATAAATACAATGAATGTTCCTGCAAAGGAAAAAAAAATTACATGTAAAGTCAAACAAAATGTTTAATGTGAGTTTAGTTTTTTGGTAACTTGATTATCTGTGACACCCACTGAACCCCACTGACTGAAAGATGCCGAAGTTGATTGGCGGGAGTCTCTAAAGGCTTGGGGTTTGTCTACAGCTCTGTGGCCCGAAGAGTGGAGGGAAATACAGGAAATCACTTGCCAATGTGGGTGCTCCAGGAGAGACCTGAGTCAGAAGGGAGAGTCCCAGAATGTGGTGTGGGAGAACTGTCTGTATTCTGTCAATCATGTTTTAAATAAATGCTGATTGGCCAGGCAGGAAGTATAGGCGGGAAAACCAGACAGGAAGTAGAAATGATGCAAGAAGAGCAGGAGACTTCTGGGAAGGAGGAAGTTGATTCCTCCCACTCCTTCCCAGATTACCGAAGCAGCAGGATGTGATCTGCCCCACTGAAAAAGGTACTGAGCCACATGGCTAACATAGATCAGAATAATGAGTTAATATAAGTCACAAGAACTAATAAGAAGTCTGACCTAATGGGCCAATCAGCTTTATAACTTATAGAGCTCTCAGTGTGATTTTCTTTGGGGCTAAACAGCTGTGGGAACTGAGCAGGACAGAAACCAGCAAACAAGCAGCCCTCCATGTTACAGTGAAGGGAAATACAGGAAATCACTTGCCAATGTGGGTGCTCCAGAAAAGACCTGAGTCAGAAGGGAGAGTCCCAGAATGGAAGGAGAAGACGCAGCTTGGTGCATCAGCCGCTGGTAAAGGACATGCATCGCTTTCCTTCAGGAAGGGTCCCAGGAGTCCAAACAGAACCATAAAACCATGGTCCCAAGCATGGAAGCAATCCCAGTGTTTAACACACCTTCTGAGCTCAGTATTACTCACCAGTGAGTGGGAGATCTAGCCATCACAGACTCCCTTCATGTGGCCATAGCTGCATGTCTCACAGTAAGGAACGTCCCCTCTTCCACAGGATGCACAGGGTGCTCTTTCTGCCACTGATGTCCCTTGGAGTGGCACGCCCACTGTGAACTCAGGAGTGCCTTGGTATGTGTTGAGGTGGGGAGCGCAGGCTTTGCATTCTGCCTTATACCTTCTCTGACCAGCATGCGCTACAGAAACATGGTTGAGCATGTCTAAGTCCTCTAGAGCCTCTTGCCTCTCTCAGTGCCTCTCCTGTTCAGAGAGACTATCATCATACCCTCACATAAATATTTTCAATTTGTTTTTCTCCTATACAGATTCTTCCATCTTGCAGTTATGCCTTACGCACGTGGACTTTGTTCATGTGACTTTTGCACGTGAAGGGAATGAGCTCCCTAGCCACAGACCTAGCTTTTGTCTTCTAGAATCTCCAGGGCTGAGGAGTGCTGAGGGAGAAGAGGTGAGCCTGTCTGTGCCTGTGCTCACAGGACGGGTGCCTGTGTTTGTGTGCGCATGTGTGGATGCACAGCTGCATCAGTCACTTTTCTGTTGCTGTGACTGAACCACGTGATCGAACGTAGCTTAAGGAGGGACTGACTTTGCCTTGTGGTTCCAGAGGACTAACAGTTCCTGGGGGAGTGCAGGCATGGCAGCACGCAGTAATGCAGGATGCAGAAACCTCGCATCTCAAACTGTGAGCAGGAAAGAGGGTGAACCAGATGTGGTGAGACTTTGTCATCACAAAGCCTGCCCCCAGGGATGTACTTCCTCAAACAAGCTGGTGCCACCCCACCCTTCCCAAATGGCATTAGCAACCAGGAACCGAGTGTGGACTGGAATAATCAATTTTATAAAAATGGCTGTGTAACCCAAAGAACTCTACATATTCAGTATAATCCCAATCAACATTGTAGTAACATTCTTCAAAGAAATAGAAAATAATAATCCAAATATTTATATGGAGGCAAAGCAGACATTACGTAGGCAAAGTCATCCTGAATAAAAAGAATGCTGTTGGAAGTATCAATGCCTGATTTCATTAAAATAATAACAGCAACAGTAGCAGGACAGCACTGGCACAAACACAGATACAGAGATCAATGAAATAGAATAGAGGGACCAGATAATAAATAGATTAGTGAAATCGAATAGAGGACCCAGACACCAGGCCACACAGCTACAACCACCTGATTTTTTTATGAAGATAACACAAACTCATACGACACAATTACAACACCTGCAACAATAGTATGGAAAACAGACATCCACACAGAGAAGAATGAGAATAGCTCTTCATCATTCAACACCCCTAAAGTGATTTCAAATAGATCAAGGACTTCCATGGAAGACCTGAGACTCTGAAATTGCTGTCAGAAAGGGAAGGGGGTGCATCTGAACACATAGGCACAGGCAAGGACTTTCTAAATTAGACTTTAGTCACTCATGAAATAAGACCAATAATTGTCTAAGAATGTCATGAAATTAAGGTTTAGTGCAGCAAAGCAAAGTGCCAATCAAGAGGCCAGACAGCCTGAGAAGGGAGAACCTCTGCCCACTGTGTGTCACAGCCTCAGGAAACGAAACACTAAGAAAATAAACAGCCCAGCAAAAATGAGCGAGGAACCAAACGCAGTTCTCAAAAGAAGAAATACAAATGGCTAATAAAATTTTTAAAAGCTTTCACTATCCTTAGCCATCAGGGGAACACAAATTAAAACTATGCTGAAATTCTAACTCTCCCCAGCCAAAGCGGCTGTCAAGGAAACAAATGGCAGCACATGTGTGTGTGTGTGGAAGGGTGATGTTGATCTGCTGGGAGTGGGGGTGTGAGCTGGTACAGTCGCTGTGGAAATAAACATGGAGGTTTCTCAAACACCAGAAATAAATCCACCTTGTGATCCAGCCATAACCCTTCTGGAGAACACCCTAGGAGCGCCATATCCTCACATGGAGAGACTAGCACACTCTTGTTTACTGCTTCTCTACTCTCAATAGCTCGGAAATGGACATCAGCCTAGAGTTCCGTCAACTCACGAATGGTTGATGAGCATGTGATATACACACACAGCAGAATTTTAATCAATCCTAAAGAAAACTGAAACTCATAGGAGAAATGGGCAGAACTGAAATACGCACTAAATGAGGTGGCCTAGGCCTAGGAAGACAAATTACGTGTTTTCTTATTTGTAGATCCTTGCTTCAAATTTCTAGATTTGTGTGCTTAGTTTACAGTATCTATAGAGGTCAGGAAGATAGGTAGGGCCCATGGGGGGACCTGAAGGGTGAGGAGATAGAGAACACACTGTGGAAGTAAAAGGAGATACTGGGAGTTAAAAGCTAAAACGGGGAGGAGGCAGGAGAGAGGAGAGGTTGGAGGTAAGTTAACCGAAACTAAGGATGTGTAAAAACTCTATGGATTCTCACTACTTTCTAAGATAATTACACCTTTTAGAGGAGCTTGACATGGGTGTCCTTCATGGGTGTCCTTTGCTCACTTCAGAAGACATGAAAACCTCAGTGCTGTGTTGGGAAACCTTATTGTTGGTGGACTGGCTGGTTTTTGTGTGTCAGCTTGACACAAGCTAGAATTATCAGAGAGAAAGGAGCCTTGGTTGAGGCAATGCCTCCACGAGATCTGTATGTAAGGTATTTTATCATTTAGTGATTATTGAGGGAGGTCCCAGGCCGTGGTAGGTGGTGCCATCCCTGGGCTACTGATTCTGGGTTCTGTGAGAAGGTTGGCTGAGCAGGGCAGGGGAGGCAGGGCAGGGGGAGCAACCCAGAAAACAGCTCCCTTCCATGGCCTCTGAATCAGCTCTTGCCACAGGGATCCTACCCTGTTTGGGTTCCTGTCCTGACTTCCTTCAGTGATGACCAGCAACATGGAAGTGTCAGCCAGATAAACCCTTCTCTCCCCAACTTGCCTTTTGGTCATGGTGTTTTGTCACAGCAAGAGAAGCCGTAACCACGCCAGCGGGTTGTTGGTTAGGACTGTTACTGCTTTTGTTCTTGATTGCCCACCCTAACAAATGATAAGATGGTATCGCTGAAGACACAACACTTAGGACTTAAGCTAGAACTGACCTGGAAACTCCCTTCCTTCATAGGGCTGGAAGTGCTGTGTGGGCCGGTGGGGGAGAGATGGTATCCATGGTCTTACTAGCACTGGACCCGGAATGCTTAAGTACTGACCTGTCAATCAAGATGTGCTCACTGTGCAATGGTGGCATGACTGTTACAGGGTAACAAACTACTTTCTGATTGGATCTGAGGCCTGCTCCATAAGGGGAAAGTTCATGCTTGGTATTATCAGTCTGGTCAAAAGTCCATGGTGAAGGAAGGTATACGCCCTGCGTAGGAACCCACCACTGTTTATCAAACACCTCTTAAATAAAGACACATCTCTACAGCTGGCAGAAGTTAACTCAGAGGCTATTAACTGGTCAAAGTGCTGAGGACAGCTGCCTGTTGTCCTCATGAGCTACTACACAGCTCTGTAACATGCAAGCAGAGTCTCAGAGGAGGTTTAACTCACAGTGGTCAGAGAGCACAGCTGATCTGGGTGAGGAAATGGGGCTCTCTTTGTAGTCCCTTCAGGACCGTGGCT